CACTTCGAGCCTCATGATTTACTTTGAGCTAAATTTTTTTCCTTTATGTGGTTGCTGTACAGTAGCAGTTGTAGTGGGGGCTGCTCCTTGCTGAGGGAGATGCCAGTGAGAGGCAGCACAGCGGTTCCTCCCTGCACCCAGCAGAGTGACCTCATGGGACCATGAGCCACCCATGGTGTTTTCCAAGGCTGTGGAGGCTGCTCCATGCCACCCAGCCAGCAATGTGGCCTGAAGAAACATTGTGGGCCTTTTACTAAGACTGAAATACCAATTGCAATGCAAGTTACAATGTCTGAGGGTTACAACTGGCTTTTTCTGGTCAATTCGTGGGGTTTTGTTTCATGTTGGTGGCTCACAGCCAGTCTGTGACTAATCACCGACCAGTGATCCCAGCCCTATAGAATGAGCATCCTCCATATAGCAGGGGTTTTTATTAATAAGTACCACAGTGCTTGACCCTGCACTTTAAATTGCAGGAGGAGGATGACACGGCCAATGCTTTTACTCCAGTGTCATCGTCACTGCTGTGTTGTTCACATGGGTACCCACTTCGCAATTACCATGGGAACAGGTCTATGGCTGCACAAGCAGAAGTGTTCCCTTTTGCAAAGGTTTGGCATATCTTTTGTCTCAAATTGTGGAGCAGACTTAACAAAAGAGCATTTATAACTGTAAAAAGTATTGCTTCCTTATTTGTATGCATATTGCTGTTACGCATTCAGCTTTGGATTTGCAATATTTTAGAGACCTAGTTCTAAATAAATAAAGAAAAACAAAGGGAGACTGGTAAGTTTAAGCTGATTGAGTATCCTTCAGTGTTGAAACAAGTTTGATTGAAGCACAGAAAGATCCATTAATGCCTGTTTATGATCTATTTTTAGAGTAATTCCAAGCAATTACGATTCATATGACTCAAGAACCCAGGCTGAATTCTAGCCAGACAATAAAAGGAGATTTTTGTAATGCCAGAGAGACTCTTGAGCAGATTTGGAGGAAAATACAAATCAACTGTTAGTGTGATAAAGCCATGCACACTAACGCAGTTTCTGGAGCTCTTGATAACTTAGGAAACATTCACACTGGAAAATCAGGCATAAGCCAGCACATCGGTGCAGCACGGCTGACTTTGGAACGTCTGGGGCTCCATGCAGTTATGGTGCAGGGAGAGGCTGGAAATGAGCTCACCAGTCTCCATTCCCTTTTTTACTCTCAGCAATGAAGTATGTGAGAAATACTGATGAAAAGTTTCCTGCAGAGACATCAGGCAAAGAGAGATGGACAGATGAGATGTGTATGTTGACGAAAACTTTTAGAGGTCAATGCATGTTCACAAAATCCCTTGCTCTCACACTCTTGGGATCTTCTTTTCCTTTCTTCCCTTGTGGACTTTAAACAAGCCATGTCTCCTTTTCTTTCTTTCCCCAATTCTGCTCCTTCTGACACTGATTTTTGTCTCCATCCTTTCTTTTCCTGTTTCAGGACTCTCCAGGGAGGGCTGGGCAAGGCAGCTGCAGACACTCAGTAACCTCTGCCAGAGAAGCCCTTCAACATCATGCACGTGCATTGCTCCAGATTAATTCTAGTGTGATTAATCATTTCAGGAAGGCAGTGGGGGAGTGGTTTTGTGTCCAAATGAGGGCACTGAATACCAGGATACCTGAGGTAGCCATAGGGGAATGGCAAGTTAAGACAGAAAGTGCACAGGAGACCCCTTATCCTTCTGGAGCAACACCTGGGCGCCAGGCAAGATACCTGAGGGTGTCTAATGGCAGCTATGCTTAGACATAGATTCACAGATTCACAGAGTGGTAGGGGTTGGAAAGGACCTCTAGAGATCAGCTAGTTTAAACCTCCTGCTAGAGCAGGATCACTTAGAGCATGTTGCACAGGATGGCGTCCAGGTGGGTTTTGAGTATCTGCAGAGAAGGAGACACCTTGGAAGGAGTTGTAGATTAACCACCTCACAAGGGAAAGAAGTCCTCAGCACAGCAAAACATTATGCCCTGCAGTCAAGATTTATACTTTAGGAAAATCATTTTAGGCTAAGAAAGCAGAAAGGAAACAGGCAAGGAAACTAATAACCCCGCTTTCATAAAGCATTTATTTTTTTTTATTTGAAAACATTATACAGGCATTACATTGCCACAGCCAGTCCATATAGGAGCATGCAAATATCAAAATGGAGAAAGGTTTGTTCAGCTTTTCGATGCAGGATTTGGGGTTGGGATTTTGTTTGCTTGGTTTTGGTTTTGGTTTGTATTTTCATCTGCGGTGTCAAGATTAGTGTGCTTTATTATGGCATTTAACAATAAAATCCTACCCATGGGGTAAAATTTATATTTGTAGCTAGCTCAGGAATACTAAATGGTTTTAAAAAAAAAAAAGGAAAGAAAACAATACTACACGCTTGTCAAAATGTTAATAGCACAAGTTAGCAATCTCTACACTATACATTGAAACTTCTTCTTATGACACAGTGGTGCAAAATTTTCAATTGCTTGGTCTATCGTTGTGTGTTTTGAAAGTTTATAGCTGGAACAAAGACAAGGTCTGTCTCCCAGTGAAGGTTTTCATCCAGTAGCAGAAAATTACATCAGTCTTGCTAAGGGCTGCTCAGGGCCGGCAGTATAACAGCATTTCAGTTTGTTCAGGCAAGGAGCTATACAGAGCTAGAGACATCCTACGCAACACGGAGAGTAGCTGCCGGTTAGATAGCTGAACCTTTGCTGGTGCGTACTGAGGTCTCGAACTGCAGAAAACAAGCAGGTAGAAGTAATGTTTTCCTTTTTACTAGACCTCAGTTTTTCAGTCAACACAGTTACTTGTAAAGCTATACTACTGTTTTCCTTGGAGGTCCACCCAGCGCTAGCACACTGGTGCTAATCCAAGTATCCACCTTGTTTAACGGGAGACACAGTGAAGCAGCCTCACTTTGTACATCAAACTCCTCCTGTGCAGGTAACACAGGGGATGGTGGCTGGGCGTAGAGTGTACACTGAAACAGTCATAACTTATTTCCATACAACAGAGCCTTTTAAAATAGCCTATGAAAATTGCTTCGGATGGCACCTCTCAGCCACCCATGGATCGTAAACCCTTGTAAGTAGAAACTCCCAGCCCAGTGACCCGGCTGGGAGATGCCGCCTGCCCAGCTGTTTCTGAGAAGACTCTAACAAACACCTACAAGTTAGCGTCAGAAAAATGAGGAGGGGGAGGTGGAAGTACTACAAACATTTGGCTTAAAAATAAATACTAATAATGAAATTAACTGAAACAATTATGCAAGAGGAAGGAATTGTAAACATGAAACAAACACGCACGCAATCCTCAAGGTTCTCAGACCAACACGGGGACTAATGTTCAGAGAAAGGTATTTAATTGGTATAAAAGGTAGCAAAAAAGACTTGAGATGACAGGTACCCACCAGTGTGCCTCTGTGTACCTGAGGGAGCCATGGTGGTTGTAACCAGAGGCCCTGCTCCTGGGGAAGGTACAAAACCCACCTCAAGTCGAAGCCCTCCCAGGACTTGACCCGAGGATGCTTGCTGGCCTCTGTGCATGAGAGCTTCACCTGACCATGCACTTCCTACCTGGACTTCCACTCTGCACACCTTACCCTGAAGTATCAGGTAATCTTTCATGTGCGGTGGGTTTTTTTTTATTTTTAATTGAATCCCATAGGATTTAGACTCTCCATAATATCTCCAGAATATGGACTCTGTTTCTCTGTGGGAAACTTTTCTTTTTTTTTTTAATCCTCAATGGCTTAAGAGAAAAAGCTTGGAAACATGAGTGCTAAAAAAACTAAACAAACAGAAGGCAGGGGAAAAAAATCATACATTTGTTATGAGTTTAAAACCAAGCCATCTTAGTGGAAGCTTTTGAGCCAGTTTTGGGCATGGTTTGGCAATACTGCAGACCCTTCCCTCAGCTGCAGCAGGATCGTGTCAGACAGCATCCACATGGTGGGACAGAAATTGCCTCTCCTCCTCCTCCACAGCAATAATAAGATACAACATACTTTTGCTGTTTAATAGCATTTTGGCATTTGCCACTTCATGTATATTATGCATACATACTTCTCCCAGTCTGCTTTAGGGAAGTCCCTTCTATATTAAAGCAGAACAGGACTATAAAAGATGAATGTTACCTCAGCAGAAATTCATCCTGCTTGGTTGAACTGTGTGGCCTTTTGAAAATCCAGGGTGCGGACTTTTTTTTTTTTTCTTATTTAAATAGAAATAGGCAAGTTGTATTTTTCAAACATGAAGCCCTACATTTTCACTTGAGACAGACTTCTTCAGCAGAATAACATTCAAATCAAATTCATCTTCTATGCCCACAAGCAAAATATTCATCAACCCTGCTGTAAACTCCATTTTCAAACACAATGAATGTATACACACTTTTACAGCACTATTGTGTACTTCTTAATCTCCTCCTTTCTGAAGATCCTGAAGCATTTTAAAATAATGTGGTCCCATAGCACCCCTGTGAGGTAGGTAAAATATCATTATTCCCATATATACAGATTGGGAAACTCAGCCACACAGAAGGTAAGTCATGCCCAAGATCACGCAGAGATAGTGCAGATCTGTGAATAAAACCAAGCCTTCCTGGGTCCCTCTCCTATCTGCTGGATGTAAGACCATCTGTCCTTCCTTAACTTTGAATTAAAAATGGATGATGGATTTTGAAATAATGGTTTCCTTTTATTGGGTGCTCAGAAGAGCAAACATACAGGCAGCAATGTTTTTTTCATGGTGGTGACTAAGATTTTCCCCATTCTGATAAGGCTCCTGGAGCAGAAGTACAGTTGAGGAGCACAACCTTACCATTTTCACATGTCCCCAGGAATGTAAGAAAACTGCTGAATTCTTGTGCTAGTTTTGTAGTTAATGAAAAATAATTGGCTGCACCCTGCCAGTATGAATGCCTTCATGCTACTGCAGCAACATCAGCAGATGGTCCAGTCTTTCTGCTCACGAATTCCTCACTTAATCTGCCTGATTTTTACAATTTGTGGGTTTTGGTGAAAAACTGACACATTTCTAAATCACTATTGTTAGAATAGTGAACCACAGGAGACTAAGCAAACTAGAACAGCAGAAGGTGCCCTGGATGCACTGAGTATCTAAAATAAGTGCCCTGATCCACATGCTATGTCATCTTACCATGGAGAGGTACAATACATAGGAAACTAGAAAATGTGGTTTTTACAGATTAAAATTTAAAAAGTAAGAAATCTGCATTAAGTCACGACTACAGAGAAACTAACTCCCTGTCACCTGATGCAGAACCTCAGCCGCTAGGAAATCTGCCATGGATCATAGAGAGGTCAATGCTTGAGTACTTCACTTCTGCAAATATAGAAAGGCTAAAATGCTCGCTTTATACCTATTCCTAGAATAGAGACGGATATTGTAAGTTGTCCCTCCTCTGGATTCATGGAACAGATTACCTAGAAAGGGCAACTAGACAGATGGCACAGATAAATTCATTGTCTTTCCCTCGCCAAATCCAAGGTGCGAGCAAAAATGTGTCAGGGTATCACTACCATCTATTTTGTGCAAACAAACAAATCTTAAGAGAGAAATTAACAGTGACTGCACAAGTGTATTTGCTGTAAAAAGGCGGCTTTTCCACAACTGGTGTGGCTTAGGCATAATATCGCTCAGTGGGTGCAAAAACACCCTTCTATGAATATCTTTTTGTAATTTCAGCTTATATATTGAATATCTTTCACAGGTAGTTTGACATTAACTGATTGATATACAGCAGTTTGTATTGCAAACATGCTGCTCATATTGTAAATGAGGGACTGGCATCTCCTTGCAATGAACACCCTGGAACAAATAATTTGTATTTTTATGAGCTTTCCTTATTTGCTACCTTGCAGCTCACTGGTGTAACTGCACCTGGTAAATACCTTTCTCTATGTACAATACAGAGATAATGGATATACGAGCTCCACTGAATCATCAGTAGGTGATCAACAGCCCTGGGTTTAAGCAACTCTAACGTGAGGCTCCTCTTCTGTCTCCTGCCCCAGGCTGGTGTATGTTACTGAAGGCTCCAGCTGGCTGGTGGCTGGCAGGTCTACAACAGGTCCTGAAGGGTTTCGAAACTGCTTGTACACCCGAGGATCCTGGGCTATGTAGGTGGACGTGGAGGAGTAGAGCACCAGCCCAACAAGGATAGTGAAGAATGACAACAAGTAAAGTCCTGAAAACTAAGCAGAAATAAGAGTAGAGTCATTAGACACAGAACCGGTTATCCTGAGCTCATGAAGATTCATAGATCCTTGTTTTGGCATGCACCAAACAGAACAAGCCTCCTGTCACTGGGATGTTGACATTTTATGGGAATATCTCTTTGAAAGTTGATTTGCTCCCATCGGCTCCCCTGTCTTCCGTAACTAACATTGTTTTCCCATGGCCCAGGCATATTAAGTATTGGTCAGGTGGGACTTGGGAAAACCGGGTTGTGGTCACAGATCCAAAACTGATTTTGTCACGCTTTTAGACAAGCCAACTACTTCTCTGAGTCCATGGTTCTCTAGCTCTGGTGTGGGGTCCCATCATCTGCTGTTGCCTGACAGGTGGTGTACAAATCTGAAGTTAATTACAGCTAAACCACATGTCTGTGAAGTATAACACGCTGTTGGTAATATAAAAATATCATTAAATAAACATTTAAATAAGCATTTCAACCATATATACTTTACAAAAATATGTATTTTAATAAAGGCATTTAAAAAGCCCACCTGCAGCTTCTCTTGCTTGTAAACAGAAAGCAGATGCTAGAAGATTTAATGTGAGTTTGGACAGGATGAACTTCAGCTGTGAAACATGCTCTAGGTTGACCTCAAGAGGTTTGAAAGTATGTAGGGAGGGCAGTTAACTGAAAGCTCAAGTACACGTATTTTGGCACACTAGATCACAGGTCAGCCTGAGTTTTCTGACATATCCAGACTCAGTGTGCCTGGACTGAAAATACAACACAAATAACCTCTTTGGCAATACATTAGCCCTTGCAGGTAAAAGCAAAGGCAGGGATTCAAAAGCACAGACCATTAGATAGTAGCTTTAGATGCTGGCTTCCTGCTATGGGGGACACAAAAATGGCTTTAAGCCCATATGACTTGTCTCCTGATCCTAGACTACAAGTTATTTCTTCTTGCATGCTGTGCGTGAGAAGCCATGAAGGACAAATTGCATAGCCAACTTGTTGGTGGGGATATAGAACTGATTTGTACTCAGTGAGACTTTAAAAAGTGCCTGTATTCTTCAACTGTCAGGGATTTCTACTTGAACACCAACAAATAGCTGCAATCGTATTAGCTGCTTCATGAGGTATTTCACTATTTTACATAAAGATGTGGGCAAGTCTGGTTTTTTAATCCTAACTGACTATGCTTTGATGGATGCACAATTTGTTTCCTCTGGATCACTTGGCACAAAATGGATAGATTGGACTATATTACCTTGGAAGCTTTTTAGCAATTCTGCTTTTTATATTTAAAGAAATAATAATTGTGGAGAGAACAAATTTTACGCAAGCTAACTTTGCAGTGATGTTAATTTGCTGCCATTTAATAAACCTACAAAACCTGCGTCCAACTACCCGCCTGAGGAAGAATTCGGCTTTTTTACAGAATCCACAGTATCTTTGAAAGCTTTGGACATCTAACCCATGGTGATATATTTGTATGTGTTTTTGTTTCCCACAGCTAGTATGCACATTTTAGAGGGAAAGCACCATAATGGGGAAAGTTTAAAGTGTGTCAGAAGGATTAAAGGGTTGAGTTCTGCTTTTCATCAGCTGTTAATTGCTTTTTTCCAGGAATATCACCAGGTCTTCATGTGTCACCTGGCAGTATGATTTGATGGAATCATCCAGCTGTCCCACCAGCCACAAAGATAGTGGCGAGCCTCACCCCCCCCCCAGCCACAAAGATAGGGGCGAGCCTCACCCTGCATCCGCTGAAGGATTCCTCCTGTGTGACACAGTTCTGAAAGGACTGTTCAGGCTTAGATCTCCCCCATGTGGCAATCAAACTCAAGTCAACAATTTCAAAGCATTTTCCAAATGATTTTTTCCCCCCATTTTCAGTTCATTTTTGCTGCTAGCACTTCCCTCCACCCCCACCCCCCCACCCTCCATTTCCTCTTTGCACGTGAACTTGGGTACCACTTGGCAGCAGTGGACTTGACTAAGCTAAAGCAAAACTCAGGAGCCAAATGCATCTAGTTTCCCAAACTGGGAACTAGTTCCCTAGTTTCCCACTGTCCTTCCTTCCTACCCTATGCCTGAATTTCTCACCCCGGACAGCCAGCTGGCTTGCTCCACTGTATAATCAGAGTGCCAGCCAGATTTGTGATTGCCTTGTGTCCTGCTGTGAGGAATCTGTGGGGCTTGCAGCAGCTAAATGTGTCCTTTTTCTTGCTCTAGGAACTGCCCAGCCAAAACCAATTCAGTTTTGCTTTAGTTTGTGGCTCCAGCTCTACAGTATTCCTCCTGGCCATACCTCTCGTTCCTCTCTCAGGGGCTTCCTGCCAGTGGGCTCTTTCGCCCGATAATATTCTCTCCATGGCAGTGTGTCCCCCAGTGGCAGCTCTCCAGTCTGGGAGAAGGGGTTTGGACAAAGCAGGGGGAAATCTAAACAAAGGCCTGAGAATCATTTGTCTTTGGTATCTGTGCACAGCTACTGCAGAGACCTGGATCCTGACAGCCCTATAACAATTCCGTCTTTACCTTTCTTAGAATCAAGTTAAGGTGCAGGCTGAATTGTTTTCTGTAGCGGTTCTCTGCAGCACTGAAGTAGAAGGGTTGTTAGTAAGATTAATGTATGAATATATACTGTAGGTATATGAGAAATCTCTGAGCTTTGTCAATACTCTGTCAGATCGACCCAAACCCCCTTGAAATCAATGCGTATTTTCCTTCTAGTAAAACGGCAGTGAATCCTGCAGTGTGATGGGAGGATGCAGACTTAGTTCATCAAATAAAAAAATTGTTGCTCACTGTACTGTGTTCCTTAGACTCTAGCTGAAATCTTTGTATTTATTGAAGATAGGATTTCCAAGCACACTCTACTGCTATGTCTACATGTAAGTTTTTGAAGGTTTCTTTTATCTTGACCTGCAAACCTCATCTGCTGAGATTCACTATTAATAGACAGCCAAAAAGACACGTTCAAAACCAGCACAAAGAGCTATTCCTAAGAAATTAAGTGATAGAAGATCATTTTTCATTGCTACCCTCTACACAACTGCAGTACCAAACTGCAGGCTCTCAGAAAGTGTGTAATTCCTCTCTTTGGCTAAAAAGCTACTTGAGAATGATATTGTGCTTCATTATTCTGACTTATCTCTCACTTTCTGCAGAAACATATTCCCTCTAAGAAAAAGTATTTTTAAAATATCCAGATTTGTACGTCTCTCCAAATCCTTCTTCCCTCCATGCTAAACAGGATAACGGTAAGCTGTTCAATGAATAACACGGTCAGAAATTGTTTAGCTCAGATTAGCCAATGGGTGTCACACACCCTAGAGTAAGTAACTAGGAAAATAACTCATGTTTCTATATCATTAAATAGTTTCACTATAGATTTTGAATATAGACATGTAGGCACATCTGTATACAAGCACTGTTTTGAAAGGGCAGGCAATGGCCTCCGTTGCCCTCAGCAGGGAGAGCCAAAAGGACTGTTGTGGTTTAACCTGGCAGGCAGCTAAGACGATGACACAGCTGTTCGCTCACTCCCCCCACCCAGTGGGATGGAGGAAATAACCAAAAAAAAGGTTAAACTCATGGGTTGAGAAAAAGACAGTTTAATAGGACAGAAAAGGAAGAGAATAGTAGTAGTAGTAGTAGTAGTAGTAGTAGTAGTGATGATGATGATGATGATGATGATGATGATGATGATGATGATGATGATGATAAAAGAATATACAAAACAAGTGATGCACAGCACAGCTGCTCACCAACCGCTGACTGATGCCCAGCTAGTTTCCGAGCTGCAGTGCTCCTTGGCCAGCTTTCCTCAGCTTATATATGTCATATGGTACGGCATACCCATTTGGCCAGTTTGGGTCAGCTGTCCTGGCTGTGCCCCCTCCCAGCTTCTTGTGTACCTCCTGCAGAAGGCTCATGCCTCCTTGCTGGCAGGGCCCAGGAAGCTGAAAAGTCCTGGACTTAATTGTAAACACTGCTCAGCAACAACTAAAACATCAGTGTGTTATCAACATTCTTCTCATCCTAAATCCCAAACACAGCACTGTACCAGCTGCTAGGAAGAATATTGACTCTATCCCAGCTGAAACGAGGATAATCATGCAGTTTATTGAGAGATCAGATGACTTTGTGATTAAATCAATGATTTAACACTCTTGAGTCATGAGATTGATTTTCAGCCTACGAATTTCTTTTGTGAATCAAAATTATTTTAGATGACCCTCAGTTTCTTACCCATTTAAAAGAGACAGTAACGCTTGGTTACTGAATAAAGATAGTTTTGCAGAATAAAAATGGGAAATAGGGATGTCATCCTCTCAAGAGAAGGCAGAGACCTCCTTTGCAGAGAAAAACTGTCTTAGTTACAATAACTTTTCAGATTTCATCACTGACATGAAAGTCCTCTGCCAAAACTTACTGAGTAGTCAAATCAAATAGTTAAATCAGCCCTACAGCCCATGGCTGCTCCACTCTGACATCTGGGTGTCTATAAATGTTTTCCCAACCAGAAGTATTCAATATGGAACACACAAATTTACAAACATTAAAAGACTAGGAAAATGTAAAAAACATGTCTTCTCTAGACATTATTTAGTCCCTGCATTGAAAATAGCTTACACTAAACTACCATTAATTTTCAGTGTATAAAAAGCACATTTTAGGTGCCTGTCAGTTTGAAGGTAAACAGACAAAGCAAAACCTAACCTAATGTAACAAGATAACATGTTTAACAAGATTTGTTCAGCCTATCAAAACCCGCATTGATTCTGTGTGAGTGGTGTTTCTGGTATTTAAGAGATGTTCCTTAGGGACCCGGTACTTGAATGCATTCTCCCAGCAAGGCTTAGCAGAAGAGTTAATAGCTTCTGATGGCCTAACGGCAGGAGCAGGGGTCTTGCTCCTTGCTCCAACATGTGCTACTGCCATATGAACCTGCCAGAAACCACGGCACCAGTAAGGTCTAGCTGACCGCAGAAAATATATGGTGAAATC